TACACAATTGATGTGTGTATGGATTGGGATAACAGTTGTATGAGCCCCTAATAAAATGTTAAAAATAAAATAAAATAAAATATCTAAAAAAAAAAAAAAAGGTCTTTAGAACAATGAATGTGACACCATTCCCTTTCAATATATGATTCCTGGCCTAGTAGACCATATCATTGTCATATTCAAAATGATCAATATCAGTCCATTTCATCTCACTAATGCCTAAGATATAGATCTTTAAGTCTTCCATTTGATTTTTTTGACTTATAATTTTCCTGGATTCATACTTCATACAGTTCACATTCCAATGATTAATGAATGTTTGTAGTTATTTCTCCTCGTGTTGTAATCTGTCACATCAACAAATGAAGCTTCTGAATGCTTAACTTCATTTACATCATGAAAATGTACTCTATTTTGAGGATACAGTTCTTCCCATTCATATTTTGAGCTCCTTCTACCCGAAGATCTAATCTTCTAGCACGATGTCAGGCAATGTTCCACTCGTATTCATTAGGTTTTAACTGACCAACTTTTTCAGAATAGGATCACCAGGTCCACCTTTCAGTCTGTTATAGTCTGGAAGTTCTGCTGAAGCATGTCCCCAGTAGGTGACTATACTAGTATGTGAAATACCTGTAGTATAGTTCCAGCATCACAGACTGTGCAAGCCATCAAAGTACAACAAACGGTTGCATGTGTGCTAAGAACCCTCTCTAGGGAATCTATATGAACCCCTAGGAGGCAAGATCTATGGTTGTCTGTCTATGACACTCAGGAGTTTTTCAAGGTTCTGTTGGTGAACCTGAAATCATCATCCACAAATGCACTTTGGATTAGCTCTTCCCAAGTGTTTTCTTTGTACTGATCACATCAGAATTTCCCAATCACCTAGTTGCTTTTTACCTATTAAGTGCAAGAGATTTTTCCTTTGGTTACCCTCAAAGGCCAAATCTAATCTTCAGAGAAATGTGTCTGAGAAATTTAATAGACTTCCATTTCTGTTTGATGCAAAATGTTGGAAAATATGCGGAGCTAAAAACAGACTCCAATGGTAAACAACCCATTGCCAGTAGCTCTATGAATAACCACTTTCTAGTTCTTAAATATGTTGGGTTTTATTGGTCTTTCCTCATTAAGGCATATATTTCAAGTAGTTTTGCACAGTGTAATGCATTGACCTGAAGAGACAGAAGATTTTACAGTGTGACTGGATCATGGATAGAATCATTAAACTTCCTCCTGATCCTTTGTAGTGATAACACCCACATTTCTAAGTTTCCTGATATGTTCACTGAAAGTCTCATTAATGATTTAAGTTTATTTACACAATTTGCATGTTAGAGAGCCTAGCATTTTTTGAACACCTACAATGAGCCAAGTCTTGTGTGATGAAATGTATATGCAATCCCCTCAACCCTGTTTCTTCTACATTGTAATAGCAAGATAGTGTTTCAGAGACGTTAAGTCTGAGACCAAACAGCTCTTAAGGAGGAGTTAGGATATTATTAGAGAGCTGCCCAAGAGAATTGTTTTTTTCTCTTTCTGCTACAGTACAACTCCTTGGCTGCTGTCTTACTGAGCTGGAAAAACTTTGCCATAGGAACCCACAAATTGTGCAGAGACCGTGGAACACCACCACACTCTGCAGCCTCACCAAAACACGAAAGGGTTTTCCTCTTTTAAATTGTCATCGTGTTCTGTAAGGAAACAAAGATATGGGCAACAGATGCCCCTGTTTCTCCCAACATAGCATTCATTCTGGTCAGAAACAAAAGTCTTCAAGAGAGATTGAGCTGAAGTTTGCTTTCCTTACAAACTCATATGCCAAGCAACAATTTTCTTCCAGAAATAATTTTTTCTAACACTTTGATATTACTCTGAAAGTCTGAATCCAATAGAATAAAATAGATAAGGTTTTCTTATCATGTGAGAAATTAATTACATAGAATAATCTATTTTTAAAAGTTTTATTTATTTATTTTCAATGTTTGCCATTTTAATATTGCGAAGATGACCTAGTTAATCTGCATTAAGATAAAAATTGAGGAAGAAGCCAAATTAATCAAGTTCACGATGGCTGTGAAGTGCTAGTGAGTATAGATGATGCCTGACTAACATCCTCCTCAGAATCAACACCTTTGTTTATTATTATTTTTTACTAATCATTTTATTGTAGGGCTCTTACAAATCTCATAGCAATGCATCATTCAATTGTATTAAGCACACGTGTACATATGTTGCTATCAACATTTTCAAAATATTTTCTTTCTATTGAGCTCCTTTTATTTCTCTTCTTCCCCCCTTCCCAACCTCGTGAATCCTTGATCAATTATATATTATTATTGTTATTTCCTGTCTTATACTGTTTGTTGGCTCCCTTCACCCACATTTCTGTTATTTTCCCCCCTCAGGGTTATATATATCCAACTTACATATTCAACCTTGTGATGAGTTCCCCCTTTCTCCCCCTTCCCCTCCCATCGTGATATTGCTACTCCCACAACTGTTCCTGAGGCTTTTATCTATCCTGAATTCCATGTGTAGAGAGTTCTTATCTCTACCAAAATGTGTACTCCAGTCTAGCAAGATTTGTAAGGTAGAACTGGGTTATAGTAGTGGGTGGTGTTGGTGGGGTGGGGAGGAAGCATTCAGGACCTAGAGAAATTATGTGTGTTTCATTGGTGCTGTACTGCACCCTGGTTGAACCGTCCCTTCCTTGTAACCCTTCTGTGGGGAATGTCCAGTTGTCTACAGATGGGCTTTGGATCTCTACTCTAACCCCTCTCTTTTACATCAATATAATTGTTTGTTTTGGATCTTTTGATACCTGATACCTGATCCTGTTTACACCTCATGATCACACACACTTCTTCCATGTGGGCTTATGTGCTTCCCTGATAGATGGTTGCTTGTTTAACTTCAAGCCTTTAAGACCCCAGATGCTATATCTTTTGATAGCCAGGCACCATCTACTTTCTTCACCACATTTGCGTATGTACCCATTTGTCTTCAACGAAGGTGTCGGGAGCGATCGTATCAAAGAGTGCCTGGTTATTGGAACAAATTGTTCCTGTGTTTAGGGAGACCTTGAATAGAAGCCTTAAAGTCCATCTGCTATCTTAATAAATATATGTACATTGGCCCCTATCCCTTTCATTATAAATGAATATTTTTACATATTTACATGCCTATAGATATACCTCTATAAATAGCTTTTTCCTCGCAGTTCTGAAAGTTCTTTTTAAAGTTATAAAAATTAAATGTTTACTGTAAATTATTTAAACAATTAAAAAACAAACTCACCGCCATCCAATCAATGCTGACTCATAATTACCACCTGTAAGTTTCTGAGACTCTTAACTGTTTGCAGAAGTACAACGCCCAGTCTTTTCTTCTGAGGAGCTGCTGGTGGGTTTGAACTGATGACCACGCAGATCACTGCCCAATACGTAATCACTATATCACCAGGGCTCACTACAGATCTCTAAATGTGTAAAGATAAATGTTTTTTATTTATAGTTCCCTTTGTTTATTGCTCCTTTATAGGAATAATACTGCTCTCCCACCCCCTACCCATTACCCTCATTTTACAAGTTTGCTATGAGGATTGATCACATATTAAAAGATCCCAAACATGGCTATACTTAAAAAAATAAAAAGAACCTAAGGTTTTTAGGTGGTCTTTTATATGTTATTATGTTGTAGGGAAGGATTATAAAGATTCTGTGGTGACCCAAAGGAGAATGAGGAAGTGCTTTCTCACTCTCCCCCTCTGAACAGGACACATCGTGATCTGCATAGTAGGAAAACATGAAAGTGAGGTAAGGTCTGGCAAGGAAATTGCTGGCTACAAGCTTTTAGGACAATTAAGAAAACAGCAGGCTCATTCTGGCACAAGCTTCAACCAGTTGGCAGCCATATGACTCTTCTGTTCCTACAGTGACTGGCAATTCAAAATAAATGCCTAAAATTGCCTCTCATGTCAGCCGGCAACTTCTTTCCTGTTTTTGAACCATGTGGAATTACCTTTGGTAATAGGCTATCTTCTCTATTAAGATAAATCTGATAGCTATGAGAATTATTTCTACTCTAACAGGACAAAAATTCACTTATTTTCAGAGATAGAAGATCTTGGAGAGCTTACATTTTTCCCCTAAGAGTTTTCTTTTTTAAGTCTTCACTATATAGAAAAACTATCTCATATAAATAGACTTTATTAGAATATTAATTATATATGTAATTTTTTGTGGTAACATCTCTATCACCACCACCACATCAGGCTGTGGTGGCTTGTGTGTTGCTGTGATTCTGGAAGCTATACCACACCAGTATTTTGTTTTTTACAAACAGTTCTATTGTCATACAATTCACTGTGGTACATATACAATCATTTGTCAATTTGAGCATTAAGAGTGTAGGGGTGGTTATTTGTAGATAACCTCCTCCCTGGGGGATGGACAACAGAAAAGTGGGTGAAGGGAGACATTGGACAGTGCAAGATATGACAACATAATAATTTGTAAATTATCAAGGGTTCATGAGGGAGTGGGGTTTGGGGAGGGAGGGGTAAAATGAGAAGCTGATGCCAGGGGCTTGGGTGGAGAGCAGATGTTTTGAGAATGATGAGGGCAATGAATGTACAAATGTGCTTCACACAATTGATGTATGTATGTATGGATTGTGATAAGAGTTGTGTGAGCCCCTAATTAAAAATAAAAAAAGAATGTAGGGGTGGAGTTTGTTTCTCTGGTCTACCCAGACTAACACATTCACATATCATATAATCTGGTGGTTTAAATATATTGAAACGAGTTGTGCAATCCATTACCACAACAAATTTTAGAACATTTTCTTCCTCCTTGTACCCATTATGATTAGTTCCCCATTATTCCCTAATATCTCCTGCCATAATCCTAAAGGACTATTAATCTATTTATGCCTCTATGGATTGCCTATCCTGGATCTCATATGATGATAATCATGCATAAAGACAACAACAAATACTTACCTGGCAGGGGAGATGCCATGTTCAGTGGTTTTCCCCGGGCGAGGCTCATCCATTGCACTCTGGATGTGCTGGCCCCTGCCATTTCCCCAAATGTGGGAAACTGGACTGCATAATTTGTGGTTGTGGGGGACTGTGTTTGCACTCTCCCCTTAAAAAAATTAAAAAGACAACAACAAAATAAAAAGCAGATAAGCCTCAATCCAAGAGAAAGCAGAAAATTATAGAAACGCAAAAAAAATTTTAAATGGGTCAAAAGGGAAAACAAATGATATTATGTTACATTTTAACCGAATTATATTTTCAATAATCCACTTTTCCAGTGCAGTCTGGCCAATGGTCTGGGGGCTCCACAAATGAATTTTGTGCTTTCACTGTTATCCATACCCTTCTATAAACCAGGTGTCCAGATTTTAAGCCCTTGTACAACTCCCTCCTCCCATCTTGGAATTTATGATTTACAAACCTTGAATAACACAAGCTTGTGCACTGCTTCCATATGGACTCAGCTGATACTTCACTTCCATGACTTCTTATTTTAAAATAACCCTGGAAGACCCTACTCTTTCTGATAGCTGGACGCCATCTATTTCACCGTCCTTTGCTCTAACACCTGTGTCTTAAGTGCTTACTTCATGAGGTCACGCATTGGACAGGCCCATGTTGTGAGAATCAATTGTTCTTAGATTAGAGTGTATGATTAAGTGTGAGCTCAAAATTCATTCACACATCTAATGTTTATATACGTCCCTGGTACGCTTTAAAGGGAGCATTATCAACTTGTTGAGTAATTTAAGTAACCTCCATGAGACATTTGATAATTCTAATAATAATATCATTAATCTAGCCATTGGTGTGATAACAGGAAGATATACATGTATAGGAGAGCCAAAGTTACTGAAAGTGAAGAATTTTTCAAACTTCTATAGTCTGAAATGGATCAAACATGCAATTAAGAAGCATTGATAATTACAGGTGAAATGTGAAAGCTGGGATTGAAGAAGAGGATCTTCAGTTGGAAAATAAACTCTGGTGACAGAAATGACAGTGGAGACGGCAGTGATAGAGTTTTGGAAGACTAATGACTTATTCATCGCATATGCTCTTTTTCTCTCGATAACACAAATGGCAACTATAAACATGAACCTCATCAGAGGAGCAGACAGGAATCAAATCTACTACACCTGTGAAAAGAGACGATGCAAAAGCTCAATATTGTCAGTCAGAACAAAGCCAGGGACCGATTGTGGAGTCCATCAATTGCTCATATACAAGTTCAAGTGGAAACCGAAGAAAAGTCAAAGTATGACCTTGAGCATATCCCACCTGAATTTAGAGACCATCTCAAGAATACATTTGACACGCTGAACACCAGTGATCAAAGAGCAGACAAGTTATGGGATGACAATGTTAGGAAGGTGTGACAGATTTTATGTCAACTTAAATTTATGTGAACATGGAGGGGCAGAGCAACCTGTCAATCAAGTGGTAGCTCGATGAGACCTCCGTGGGGGCGTGGCCTTTTGTAGAAGAGTGAGAGATACTGGGAACTGCTCGCTTTCTTTGTCCCTTGGACTGTCTGCTTGCTGTGACCGTGCCTGCCTCCGGGGGTGGCTCTGTGTGGGCTGCCCAGTCCTGAGAGCTGCTGGAGCGCTGCTGTGTTTCCATTGCTCTTACAGACATACAACTTGGCGCCCACAGGACTGGCATCTCTCTGCTTCACTTTCGTGTTCTCACTGATTTTTAATCTATGAGGCTTGGTACCCTCCAGCCTATGCTGTGTATCGGAAGAGGGCCTAGTTTGCATCAGGCCTAAGGACCTGAGTGGGACTGGGCTGGGGTGCCTCTTTGATGTAAAGCTGCTTCTTGATTTAGTTCTTTCTTGCCCATAGATGAGTGTCACTGGTTTGTTTCTCTAGACAACGCAGCCTAATTTAGAAGGGTAGACACATATCCCTTAGCGATAGTTTTCACAAGGGAAGGGATTCCCAGCACAGAAGGGAGAGACCATAAAGGGCATGGGCTGAGGTGGGTAGGAAGAACACACATCAGTTCTGGCCCAGACCCAAGAGTGACACAACATCAACTGTGGGTGAGTACAGAACATCTGTCAAATGAAAGGGGAAGTACACAGTGAAAAGCCAGCCAATGGCAGAAGCCCCACCCTTAGTGTCATGAAAACTTAAATGTCCCCTCCTGTGGGTGCTCTCACATTAGCTGAGCTGCCCATCTGCACAATTGTATTGGCTGTAAGCCTTGCATAAATCCACTCGATCCATTTGAATCTCTTTCTTGTCTCTCTTCTGAAAACTTTCTTGGGAGTGTGATAAGAACCTAGGAAAGAGGGACTCAGATACCTGTAGTCCTTTACAATAACAACATCAGGTATGAGGTAAGTACAAGGTCAATGGATGTGAGAAAAGATCCTGATACTTGTTTTTGAATGTACAACAGCCATAAATATGTATATATTTATTATATGTATACTGTATATACATATATAACAAACATTTGCCATAGTTAATTTTTTTTTGCCAATTCTGTATTTTATTATTAATTGGGAATTAATGCATATAGCATATCATTCCATAGTTCAACCACATCAAGCAGTATGGTGCAATTACTACCACAATCAGTTTCTAAACATTCTTTTTCTTCCTCAACTCCTTGACATTGTCTCCCTTTACCACCCCCTCGACTGTTGCCCCCCTCCAAATAAAAAAACAAAAAAAACCCTTGTCCAATCTGCTTGCTGTCCATCCTGGGTTTCATATACTTAAAGACGGAAAGGCATGTAACACAACGTCACGAGGATGATCCCCAATAACTTAACACCTCTGAGATAAACCCTAATATAAACAAACAAAAACAAAACAAAAATACAGAAAATATTGAAAACCAGATCAGGTCCAGTGTGCATCAGAGGAGGGGATCAACTGACAAAGTTTTAATTGTCCGAGTCAGGTTTATCCCTTTGATTTTCTAGACTCATCTCTCTAATGCACTCTGTTCAGTAGCTACTTCCCTCCATTTCTCAGTGATGGATAGAGGTTAATACTAGCGACGTAGTTCCCACAAATGTATTTTGGGCTCCCACTGTCATCCAGAGCCTTCTGCAAACTGAATGCTCACAGTTTAGCCTCTGATACTAATTCCTCCTTCGATTTCAGATGATATGATTTACAATCTTTCGGTGACTGATGATGGTGTGCTTTTTCCGTGTGGGCTTAGTTGACATCTTACTTAGATGGCTGCTTTTTGGAGACAAGCCTTTAAGAACCTAGATGCTGCTTTATCTGATAGCCAGGCACCATTTAATTTCTTCGCCACATTTTCATATTTTGGTATAACCCCCATATCTTCTGTGTTCCTTTCCTGAGGGTGAATATTGAGTAGGGCCATGATGTAAGAACTAATTATTCTTAAATTGGAGCTAGGATTTAATTTGAGCCCCAAACACATTCCTGGATCTATGTTGTTTTGTTTCTTTTTTTTAACTGTCTTTGGCTCCCTTTCAAAACATCCTTGTTAATTTATGGTAGAGGGTCTCATGAATCATCCTCTAGGGCATTATGATTTTCCATTAATCTTGTCTTTGATTAGCCCCTGGTACTAATTTTTTAAAGCCCCATTGAGAGAGGGATAGTGGGCCAATGTAGGCTACATAGTTAATTTTTAAGTGAATACTTCAGTGATATTATTTACCTTTACTTTCATGTGCAGTCTTCACCACTATACATTTGCAAACATTTTTTGTCATCTCAACCAGAAACTCCGTGTCTCATAAGAAGGTATTCATGTCAGAGTAAGAATTATGGGGCCAATTTATATTCCCAGGAAACAATGTAGTACTAGACTCTAAACCATTTGGGAAGAATGTGTCAAGACATAAACAATTTGTTCCTGGGGAAAAAATGTGCTTGCAACCACAATCATGCAAAAACTCATTACAATCATGGGTGAATACCAAACCAATTAACAAGCCCAAATCGTAAACCAGTTGGTATCACTCTTTTTGGTGGTAACTCACACCTTCCAAACCAAATGTCCAAGCTATACATTACAAAGGACCTCAATCATTCATTAACCCCCTCACCTGTCACTTGTTCTCTATGTATAGACCACTTTCTCAGTATGAGCAATGGAATGCTTTGGATTTTTACTTAATATTATCCGGGGAGCAATACCTGTATTATATTTTGATGAAACTCCTATCTTTCTCTACTAACAGATGATTATCTTATTTGACAATAACCACAAATAAAATGTTGTCTATTTTTTGCCTATTCTAGATATTTCATATAAATGGGATCATACAAGATTTGTCTTATTGGGTCTAATATATTTTGTTCACTGTTTTATTTTCAGATTCATCCACAATGTAGCATATGTTGGAACTCCATTACAAAACCATTGTATGTATAACCATACTTTAAATCCATTCATCTATTGATGACTATGTGGGTTGTTTACACTTTGGGGATATGGTGAATAGATTCAGTGTGTGGAAGAATCTGGTTCAGTGCCTGTGTTCAAGTTTGGGGTATATAACCTAACTAACGTTGGGATTTCTAGGCTAGATGGCAATTCTACATTTAGTTTTTGAGTTATCTTTAAATTGTTTTCCATAGTGGTTACATCATTTTATTTTCCCACTTGCACTATGTGAGGGTCCAAATTTCTCCACAAGTGTGTTAACACTTGTTAGTTTTGTTTTTTTTCTGACAATGCATGGGAAGTGGTATCTCACTGTGATTTGTTTAGCCTTTTTCTAGGGACTAATGATACTGAACATCTTCTTGTGTGCTTATTAGACATCTGTCTATCTTTTCTGGAGAAATACCTGTTCAAACCCTTTCTCACCTTTTGAATTGGGCTGTGCTTTTGTTCCTGGTTTCTTTTTCGTGTTGTATTGGAGTTATTGATATACTCTGGATATTAGGTAAAAAATATTCTGGATATTAGGTTAAAAATTTCTAAAAATTGAAAGGTAGTGGATTTTTCCCCACAAACTTTTTTAGGAACCCTTATATGGTTCCCCCAAATTTTCTCCGATGATGCACAAAAGTTGAAAATATTGATGTAGTTCAATTAATCTAGTTTCTGCTTTGTGACATGTGCTTTTGGTGTCATGTCTAAACATCTGATGTTAAA